GTAGGCGCAGCTGTAACTGTTGATACTTATCAGAAGCTGGTACTGAGGGAAAAAAGGTGAATCGGAAGGCTCGAAGACATGGAAGTGTAGCTTAAGATGAAAGGGGCTGGCATGATTCCGTTGCAAAACATCGGATAATTACAGCAACTCGCGCTGCTGTTTCGGTGATATCAACAGTGTTATAGACCGTCTTATTGGTACCGTGGATTTTTCATTATTAAATTTTTCACTGCGTAGAAAAGTTTTTTACTGCTCTAATACAAAAGTAATAGGCCAGAGCGTCGAATCATAATTGGGAGGAAGTGGGCTCACGATTCAAAGTATACCGAAATTTTCAAAGAAATTTTATTCATTTCGAAATTCCAAAAATATACTAGCCCGCATTTTTAGGCCATTTCCGTGCACAACGGGAACAGAACAGTGGAGCTGAAATGCATGCAGAGTTTCGAATACTATTCGGGAAGCCTTGGTGGTGCGTACGTGCTGAAACTTAACGCACCCGTTGAGGTTATCGCTCCTTGCCTATTTACCTTTTTTGATAATTTTACTTGCTAGAACTGATAATAATTCCTGAGCTTTGGACATTCCAACTTTTACTGCAACGAATAATGGACTGGTACAATATCTAAGGTAGATGAGGCTTTTGTGCATCCATCTTGATGAATTCTCTGCATCTACTGGAGGCATATACTACGGAGTGTAAAGACACTCGTTTCTTCCTCTTCTGAAAGCAAAGTGAAGTTTAAAAATTCTCCCTGTGGTTTATTCTCAGCAAAAGGCGCAACCCCTCAAGAGCTGTTCGAACAGTAAGACAAGTTAATAGTAACTGTCAGCTAGCAAAGGCTGTCATTGGTCTTCTCTTCCGGAGATTACTTGTGAGTAGACTGACGGCGGCTTTGACCCTTTGCAGATGTTGGTTTTGAGTTACAGTCGGAAGGACTGAAAGTAATTATTTTTCCCAGGCCCCAAAACGATCGAAATAGGGTGAGCATTGCGGGAAAAAGTTAGCAAAAAAAGCAAAAAACCTACATAAACGGGTGATTCAACAGTTAAAATGCAATATTGAGTTGGACGGAAAAATTTGCTAGAAGATCTTAACTTCAGCAGTATTTTGACTAAAAAGTACGCAATGGCAGAAAAAGCCAGAAACACGGACTATGCCTTTTGTTTGTTTGCTCTCTTTCGATGGTTTTAATGGTCTTAAAATTTTTTTAGAAACTACAACTGAGTGGTCTCGAGCGCTTCATTGTTTCCGGACCACTGCGCCAAACTGCTTTTTTATTGTCAAAATTAGTGCAACAACGCTTATCAATAAACAATTTGGAAGGTAAACGTATCGCTATTTTTTTTTCGTTTTCTTGACTTATGATAATTACTCATAGTTTGATGAAATATTCAGGATTTATTTGATGAATCGTATTTTTTAGGAGTTTTTGATTTGAGGGATTTATATTAAATCATTTTTGGGCACTTCAAAAAGAAACCAGCGTTTATTTAACAACAATCAGAAACTTTTGCCCTTTCTTGCTGTATTTGCAAAAGTTCATAATAAAAGTATCTTCAGTGAATTTATTTGATACAACACACTTTTCACAAGTTTGATGAGAGAAAATACAGGGCCATCTTTTTAGCAAGATAAATTGTACAATTTCATTTTATTCAAAAAATAATATTATAAAATTGTTAGTGATAACATGTGCTAAGAATGTGCCAAGACTATGGGCTTTTGAGATAAGCCTATGCGAGTTCGCGGCTGATTTATCTTTAGTTGCGAACAAGAACTAGTTTAGACGGTTTTTTTTGTTGCACTGTCGTTATGAAAATGCATAAAACTGCAAAAAAGGGCAGTAGAAAATGTTTGAAAAAACTAAAAAGTTCCAAAAAATGTTTTTCTAGAACAATTCCACCAATTTACAGAATAAATTTTTGCGTTTTTGTAGGAGCTGAGGGAAGTCGGCTGCAAATGCAGATGCGCATTGATGTGCGAAGTCTATCGTGGGCCGAGATAATCACACGTTTTGCGACGAATTTTGCTCCAAACGACGTTCAATTTTACACAGATAGCATTGGATTACAAGTAAGCTGATTGCTACGAATACAGAAATTGCTAAACAAAGGAACTGGCAAGTGAGCGAGTGTTTTGTCGGTGAATTATTTTAAAAAATTCTGAGAGGCGAAGGAAGGTGTACAATAGTATTTTTGTAAATTTTTGATTTTTTATTCATCAATTAGAATTATTAACGGTGCAATAAATTTGATCAAAAAATTGGGATTATTAAAACTTCCCTGACAGTAAATGCAGAAACTCGGCACTCATGAAGTGCATCCGCGGCTTTTAGAGATTTCGAATATCAGTAAATGGTACTCTCGGAACCATAGATATAGTGCAGGCAGTGACTGCTAACAAAAGTTGTGCAACCCAAGGCCAGTTGTGCCAAAACACTCAGCGTTGGGCTGCACAGCTTTTTTTAGTAATCACTGCTTGCACTATGTCTGCGGTCCTGAGAGTACCATTTACTGATACTCGAAGTCTACCTGTTTTTCCTGAAGCTAACAACATTTTTTTTGTCATCAAATTTTAATTTCGTGGCCGTATAAGTGGGTTTTTCATAGTCTGAATCTTTGTCTACGCAATCACTATGACACAAAAATCTATACATTCGACTTGACTGATTGCCTCAGCGTGCCAATGTTCTTGCTGACGTTGATTTAATAAGTATATGAATTAAATAAGTGAAAATATTGCCATCCGTTTTTGGAAAAAAAAGCATTTAATCAGCAAGAAAAATCTACCACATCTTCCGACTACGCCACAGTTATGGGAAAATTGAGCTTAACCTTTGAAATAAAACACTTAAAGTTGAAAATTAAGTCTTAATTGCAGCTCATAAAACGCAATGAATTTGAAACAGACTGGCGGCCAGAAATGAATTATTATCCGATGCCAACGGCGCTGGTACTAGACGATGGCTCGAAACGACTCTCCGTGCTCAGCAACGTCCCGCATGGAGCAAGAACTCTCAACAAGACACGTTTTGAAATTATGCTTGGTTAGAATGAAAAATCATTGGCGGTGCGTACCATGCGGGCGTGCGATAACACGTTTTTGCAATATTTCGTGCTGTAATAAAATCGCTTGGAATCCCACGTATTGGTCCTCAAAACCCAAAAAGTTAATTGTGCACTATGTGGTAAGTGGACATAGGACGTAGCGTTAAATTTCAGCTTTCCAGCTATTCTGGTTCCCGAGTTGGCAATTTTCCTCTCTAAAATTTTTCACGGGCCCATACATGAGAACTACGCACATCTGGCTGCTGAATTTGAAATCTTTAAGTTCTAGATGGACGGGAACATCCTTATTAAAATTCTAGCCCCCTAGATTTTCTGGTTGCCGAGTTAGCAGTTTTTTCACCAAAATTTTCACATGCTCGTGCGCGGAATTCAGTCGTGCGTGAATGTTGGCACTGCGGCCCTGGAGTGGCACTTGGTCGAGGAACCCACTGGCAAAATTTTAGCACTGGAGATTGCTTGAGTGCCAAGTTGAAATACCCAGACAGGCGTACACACACACACACATGTATACATACCTACACAAACACGCGCACCATGGGTCGTCACAACATGCGTTTTTGCATTTGCATGTATGCAAAAAAACGCAGTTAAACTTGGAGTAGAATTATGTGCTGCTTGAATTACGATTATGTCCGGACATCTAGAGATTTGTACTTCGAAAATGCTTTTCAATAGCTTGCAAAATTATTCTTTCGTACTTTTCTTTTTTAAATTCTGATTCTTAAGTTTCTAAAACTTGGGTGTCTTGATCTTTTTTGGCTGCATACCGTTTTTTTTTAATGTGCGTAATTTACACCAGTATCTACTTGTTCATTCATTCATTAGTGTCCACGCATGCATCAGTACCAATTTACCATCCAAATGAAACAATTGCTAAAGGAAATGGTTTCATAGTGACTGTTCTAAACCATTCACTTATGCAAGAGGTAGCGCTATTTGTTACAACAACCAGCTTGATAAAATTATTATAAAGAGAATCAACCAATTTCAAATATCATAATAAAGATTGGAAAATTACAAACTAAAGATAATAATAATTATAACAATGACAACAATAATGCTAATAATGATGATAATAGAAAAATAGTTTTCTCCAGATCGTCGGCTAAAGTACGATGATGGAAAAGGGCTCGGCTCTGATATACCAGTGGATAATTTACCAGTTAATATGGCATTCACATTTGTACTGGAAGAAATTGTGCCTGAAGAAAGTGAAGTAAGCGTTAAGTATATAAAGACTTTTTTGGTTCATTTGCTTTCGTAATTTTGTGTCCTCGACCCTCGTCCCCAATCTCCAGTCTTATCCTGGCTTCCTGATTTCCTTCTCCGTTCTTCTGTACAATTTGCTGAATCTATCCTAAGCTCGGACTTTCGCTCCCTGCCGAGAATTTATTTTGTAAAAGATAATTTTTTAATGGCAATATTTTTCTGGCAAAACTGTCGTTGCCTAATATCCTTAGCGAAGGTTATTCGAACTTAGACTCTGTCTTGATCCACAGCTAACTGGATTGCGGTTTCTCCCCCATCTTTCACGTACTCCCTTTATGGTCTCCGAAATTATTGTCATCTCCAATAGTCATATGAAATCCTATTTCGTAAGAAATCAATAGATCCTACAGTATATTCATGCAGAACTCCCATTTTAGAAACTCCGAAAGGAAATTTGTTTGCAGCGACAATTTGCCTACAACACACTGGCCGCTCATCAAGCCCTGCGTTCACTCATTTATCAGCCACAAGTATTCATCGCCGACGGTAATTTCATTCATTTTCATCACTAATTCACCTTTAATCTTTTTTTTTCTGGTATTCGCTTTGTTTAGATGAAAAAAAAAGTATTAAGAGCAGGCCGCGCGCGTCTATATGTGCGTGTGCGTTTATGTATACATGCCAACAATTCAACTTCAGACCTATAAAAGCTTAGAATCTGAAATTTTGGGAACATACTTTCATTGAAACTATGAAGCTTGAAGCATCTTGCGTCTCTTTTTGGACAAAAACTTGTGGCCCAAGGTAGAAAAACAAAATAAATTTATAAACGAAGCTATGGATTAGAAATTTTTAGAGATTTTTGCAGTAGTGTGAAGCAGCGAACTCGATATTAAGTTCGAATTTCAATGAACTCTGATCTATTACCTCATGCCTAAGCTACTCTTACAATTCGATTACTAGGAAAACGATGAGCTAAAAATTCTGTGAATAATTTGCAAAATGCGATCTTGATCACAGTACTCCGAACTGCTTCTAACTTCACGCAGAACTCATTAAACTCAATCATCAGAAAAGTCACCGGTTGGAAATTTTGACAGTTTCATCTAAAAGGTATTCTCAAGCTGTTCTCATATCTTGTTGTTTCCTGGTTTATAATCTCAGGCCTAAATTTAGACGGACTTTATCGTTTGCCAGCTTTTACAGCCTTATAGCAAACGCATGACTGAGTCCGACTTTCTATTGCATAGCGAATTTTTTTCAGGATGAACTGATAGTGATAGTCCAAAAAAGGCGCTAGGAAGTAACGGACAGCTTACGCCAACAATCTTTTTTTTCGATTATATCTATTAAAATGAAATTTGTTCAGGAATTTTGGAAGAATTGCCGACTCAGAAAGTGCCGTCATTTCCATGCGACGTGCAGCTGCTTAGTGTTCGACCTCTAGCACATGTTGATAGTGTACGGCTAATGGTAGTGCACCGAGCTGGCATCGATTGCAGAAGCCTCAACGCTCCGACATGCATTGCAACCGAATTTGATGTTAGCTTTTTTAGCAGGACTGTTCCACTAGTGTAACTTGGGAACTGGACAGGAAAAAAAGAGTAAGCTAGCAGGAAAAAACGAAGTGAAAAATGCATTTTTGCGCTTGGTTTTTGAAAAATATTTCCTGGGTTTGAAAATATCTTTCTGTTCTTTTAGGGCATTTTATATGTCTTTTAATATTAAACCAGTCAGAGAAGTAGGTAGGTTTCAATACATTTCATATTTGGCTACTTTACTGCAAATTCTGACTAATACTACAAGTAGTTTTTTTATTTTCGGTTGTATAACTGACGGACATGACGCAACGGGTTACAAAAAAAGCTTCAAAATTCTAAATCTTCAGCGATTCGTTTATTCGTTTCAGCCGTTAAATGATGCGCCGCATGCCTGGAAATCAGATGTGCCATCACTTTGCTTCTAAGTGCTAAACAATCTGACGCTCTAAACAATCTGTGGAGCTGTCGGTGGCACAGCCAGCGGGTTTCTGTTAGCACTTGCTACTCGTGGGATATTATCTAATAAGTGTGCCTCATAAAAAATGAATACCAAGAAGTTTGAATTTTGATTATATTAAATATAAAATATGTTCACTCTGTCAGTGCCATAAAATAAAAAAAAATAAGTAAAAATGGAATCAATTTTAGCCCCCTTCGCTGCTCCTTTCCATGAAAAATTAGCTCGCCTTTATCGATTTAGACATGTGTTTCTCGCATTATGAGATGCAGTAACAATGCGGATGCTAAAAAGCTGCGGTTACTATAAGTTGAAAAATTTCAGAATGCGATAAAGAAATATTTGCGATCAATTGGTGCCTCAAAAATACAAAAAACACTGCTCAACGGAGTGCAAAAAATCGGTAAGGAAATCGACTACTATCAGGAAAAATTTTCACTGAAACCAATGGATTTTGCTGCATACCTCGTACGATTCAGTTAATGATTCAAACATTCCCGATTCAGCATCTCTGACAAGAAAACAGTTTTTTCCCCTGAAACATGTAATTTTATCAAATTACTGCAAAGTTAAGCAATTAATTGCCATTTTTTGTTTGGACTATGAAAATCTTTTTTTTTTGGCAATGTTATTTTGCGCTGTGCTAATATCGGTCGTGTGAGGGAAACAAATTTTGCTGTTTTGTCCTTACGAGGTATCAAAACTATTTGGGCAAGAAAATCAGTGTTTAAGTATTTAGTTAAGTTTTCAAGCAAGTGGGTGTTCACTATGTTTTAAAATAATTTTTGTAAACATTTACTATTCCAGACAAAAATTTTCCAAATTTTATATCGTTTGCGTGTTGCTCTGATGATGATTTTCACGTCAAGTTTTTTCATTTTTCAAATTTTCCTTTTTTTCAGCTATTGCGAGTTTTATTCATGCTTTACAAGCCTAAGCGTAATTTTGTTGTTCACTTTCACCTCATTTCACATTCTCATTGCTCAACGATACCTATGAGCCTTCGCTTCCCTTTCATTTTGTTACTTTTTTATACTTTCTCGAAAAACGCTTTTTCTGTCAAAGGTTTCAGTAGGAGACGGAGTGACTTGGAACTAATTCGAGTTGCCACAATAGAAACTGCTGTAAGGATATCAATAGCCAGCTCTCTCGATAGTTGTTTAGAATAAGTTGACGCGGGCTTGATTCCCAGGCATGCGTTGGTACCAATTTACCATCGAAACGAATCATGGCGAGACTGCTTGTTGCTCTGGTAAAGTCAAACTCATTGTTTCCGACTGTACCATATTTCAAGCAGTTACCTCATAAGTAATTTTTTTGAGTTTCTTGTTGAATAAGGCACTTGTTTCGAAATGGACCACTAACGCCCGAGCTAAGATTCAACTGCACCCTGCCTAGAACTCCCGTTATTACTAAGAGCTTGCCAGACTACGAAGTTTCCAGCTTTTATCTCTTTACCAAATGGTCGAAAGTAGGAACCTCCGTTTCCGTTTTAGAAGCCTACTGTTTGTTCGGCGGTTATCCAACTTTTCACCTACAGCACTAAGAACGTAACTCCCGAACTCTTCAACGAATGCCAGCTATTTGGGCCTTTCTTCGGCAGCTATCTAACCCTCCATCTACAGCATTAGGAACGTAATTTCCAAATTCCACAATGAATACCAACTAAATGTGCCTTCTTTAGTTGTTAGAAAAATGCCTTACATGTTTATTTCTCTAACAAAACATTTTATGTACTATTTATGTGAATGTGAAGAGATTGTTCAGAGCTACATCCGCTCTGCTGTATTTTCTTCGCTCAGTTATTTGACTTTTGCCAGTGACCATTCTTCTTGCCTGTATTCAACAAAGGGTCCCAGTCACTTGAATTTTTAGTTTTGTGTATGTTGTTTTTTGTTTTTCTTATTATTTTAGTGTAGTTCTATTCTAGAAGGTGGCAAACGTAAAATCGAATGGGCTGTTAACTAGAACTACTAAGCATACCAGACCTGGCATGGTTGCTGTCGGTAATATCACCAATATCAGATACCCATTAGCGATTATCCGGGGAGTCTTAGTATATCCTTGGATCCCTGGGGCATTTATTACACCTATCACCCTCTCTCTACGCAGCTAGCTATTCCCAGCACTATAGCTGCTTTGGTCACTGCTAATGGTTAGCTTGTCGCTGGTCTTCGTTCGCCTCCTGAGGAAAATACCATCACGACGGATCTCCAGCAATAGCACATGACAGGGCTTCAGCAATCTCGAGATGTCCTTTCCTAGATGTTCCGGGTACCACTTTTTTCCCGAAATTATAAATAACCTCTGGGATTTCTTCTAACGGACTATTGTAAAATTGTTTATTAAATTATTTCAAGCCATAGTGTTGTTCAAAAATTCAAGTTGCTAGTTTTCATTGTACAGCATATCATCAGCTGATTTCACGATCTGTTTAAAAAGAAGTTATCACAAACATAAAGTGCTATAATTACCGGCTTTACAGTTTGCTGTGAATTATGCGCTTTTTGCTACCAGGATGATGCATAAATGGAATAACAGTTTAAAAAAAATTCGGCAAATATTTGCTAGTTCTTATCATTCATCTGATAACTACATCAACTGCCCTGATGAAGCCAGTTACGAATCGTTTAACCATGCGAATCGGCTAACTATGCGCGACACCAGTAGCTATGCTTGATGCGGAGCTCATTTCATTAACATCGAATATCCTACTTCACCAGTTTTGTTATCGAAGTTTCACCAAGATTTCTGGAATTTCCGAAATGTTTTCGGAAAAGAAAAAAAAGTAAATCTCAGTAGACTAAAACGTATTTGCAAAAAATTGTTCTGATTTGAGAATGAAACTTTAATCCTTATAATTTTTCTAGCTAGGCT